AATAGGATAATAAGAGGATGAAATGAACGGTGATTTCGTAAAATTTGAAGGCTCCATTCAAAAAGTTCAGAAATCGGCGTGTTCATGCAAAGTAGCGGTGTAGTCCGGACGAAGGTATCGATGAAGAGAGGCCGGGTCAATAGACGATAATTAACCGAGCTACCGAAAAGAAACTGATTACACAAATGTTCGTCCGTTGTTTTCTCTGAAGAAAAAGGAGGGATCTTCCAACAAAATTGTACGACGCCTTCGTATCGATGCCGACAGAGAACGTCAAATTTTTGCGCCTCCTATTCGCTAAACGTGTAAATAATACCTTAGTTGGATCATTGTGTCTATGTCAATATATTTCTTTTCGTTTGGATAATAGAATACGTTAGTACGAACTTAAATTTAGAATTTTGAAAATGGAATATTCCAACTACGAAGATCCTAATATATATATATACATATATATATTTTTTTCCTCTTTAATATCTTTCGATTTTTATTTCGACGAAATACTTTTGCTAGTCGAAAAATAAAAGCATCAGAATATATGAAAGAATGTAAGCAGAAGAGACGAAAGAGCACAATGTCAAAGGTCAATGTGGACGCGGAAAAGGGCGAGACGAGAGGGCGAGGGAAAAAAGAATAGAAAGGAAGCGAATAAAGACACACGAAGGCGAGGAGAGGAGATAAGGAGGAAAAAGAGGATGCCACTCGCGGACTTACGAGCCCTCAACTGGCTGCGGCCCCGGATTAATGATCGAAGAAAGGAGCCGCCTAAACGATCCGTGTCCTCGGGTGTTAGCCTCTCCTTTGACCAGGATTCATCGGGGAGTCCAGGGAGTTCCCTCGTTACCGACTGCCAAATTCAAACGCGTTCCCATCGATGAAATTAACTCTTGTATCCTCACGAATTTGAATTAATTTTTACGATCGAAAATTAAATATTATATCGTTAGTTATATAATAGTGTTTTTTGTAATATTTCTTTGCATCCGATTGCTAATTTTTGTGCAAAAATTCTTTTTGGTTTGAAAATGTAATATTGATTTACAGTTGAGAGCTAAGGATAATTAATAATTACTATCCATTTTGATTTTAAGTTTAAATTATTTTTCAAATTCAATGTATTATATATTTCTCAAATTGCTTGTTAAAAATTTAAGAATATCCTATAATTAAAAACTAAAAAGCCAACTTTCTTGATTCAATCCTGTGAAGGAATAAATTATTCGTTTTTTACAATTTGAACGGTCATAAATTTTTTTTTTGCTGCAATTAACCAACATGTGAAATAATAGACGTATAATAATCTTTCATCAAATTAATTCTAATTCTCATTGCTATTGAATAATAAATTGTTCAACTATCAATAGAAATGAAAAAAAGAAAATCCAAAATTTTTAAAATTATGATATTTAACTTTATATCCGTCTCGAAACGCATAAATCATCAATCGTTACGACACATAGAATCGAAGGGATACATACGAATGATGCGAGCAAGCATAAAAGTGGCCACTTTCGAACGGTACAGGTGTATTTACACGCATACATTCGACGATTAACCAAACGAGACAAGGGTCTCCCGTATCGAACACTATCTACCCAATATCGAAACATCGCTGAGCGATTTCGTCCGTCGTGTTCGTCTCTCACCTTCATTCATCTCCCTTATCCATATACTCCACTTCAGCTCGCCATCTTTGTCTCGATACCAACAAGACAGCCCGATGTCATCTCTATCTTGCCAATTCCTCGTCCGTATATATCCATCCTCGTTCTATCAATAATCCAAGCGCATGCGTATTACTTCCAACTCGTTCTCTTCCCCCACTCTGATCATCCCCCACCATCAACCGCCCGATACTCTCCGTCCTCTGCGCACTCGCGTCTCGCGCATGGCGCGTGTAATTTTCACGTAGCTCCCTCTTCGTCTTTTATTTCCGTCTCTCTCCGCATCGAAGCGTTCCATATATATCCGTTCTCGTTCAACGGCAACGGCAGCCGAACGAGTGAGTCGGCGCGATCATTTGCACTCTCTCTCGCTCGTGTCGGCGCGGATGAAGGAGAGCGGCATCCTTTGAAGTCCAGTTGGGAGCCAATTACACGAGTCACACAGGGCCGCACGCACCGCGTCTCTACCGCACCGAAAATATTATTGCGCCCGCGCCTCATAGATCGATTAAAACCGAAAATTATGATTGTAGCCGCGCGGAACGAAAGCTGGAAAAAGGGGGCCGACGGGCGGCTCTACGGGCCTGTGGAGGGGATTAAGCGCTTAAATTAATTAACGATCGAGCTGCTCGGGACCGGCCACGGAAGCAGATGGACGTCGGAATCGATTCGTGGATTATTATTCGTCCGAATTCTTCGACATGGCATAACGTCCGGTTGTTTTCTATATGTTTTATCGGTTCATAATGAGATCCTACCAAATACTACATGTGCAATAATGTAGAATAAGAACGATCGAACGAAGTACTGTTGTACTTCATTGGTTAATTGCATTTCGTGATATTTTTATTCTGACAACGGGTTTCAACCGGTACCGATTAATTTTCCGCCGATTCTCCAGTGAAAAGAACCACTTGCTTTGTCATGCGGCTAATAACATCGCAGTTAATCGATTATCAAGTTACGTCAACTTTACACGTTTTATCGATGAGTAAACGAATTAACTACGCATAACAATACTTTTTGATCGGTTAATACCATTGATATAACTTTTGTCCGACGTCGATTAATCTTTCTCTCAACGAGAGATTGAAATTGAAGAAATATCTTCTTTTATGCGAACAATAATGTGTCAATAATAATACGATATTGTTCTCGAAACCGCGATCCTTTAATCATTAAAATTATAAGAAGTTTCTCTAATTCTAAGAGAAAGCTTATTGAGATACCGTGTTGTGTTAAATCAATTAACAATCACATTCCATTCCTTTCGTTTCGTTCAAAGAACCATTTGCTTCGCATTACAAATTTAATTGCTACCTCAATTAATAAGTCCAATTAATTATAATAAAGAACACAGTCTTCTCGACTAATTAGGCCATGTAATTTATATGCTATAGATAAGTTTCCCTTATATTTCCGATTACATAAAAAGTCGATGTAACGATCGAGTTAAAATTTCTTTTACACTCGAAGAAACCAAGATTTGCATTTTACGAGAGATGCATTTTCACGCGAAGGTTTTTTCATCCTCCGATGAATAATGATGATTTTAGCTACGCGAGAATTCTCTCTCGAGGAAAACACAATCGACGACGCTGTAAACACGAATTAATTATACGATATACGCGAACGGAAATAAAATCAGAGATCAAGAAGGGTGCACCCTCCCGCGTCGGTTTGCGCACTCTCCCTGATTCATTTGCCCGCGTCATGCAATTTTGTGATTCGTCCTCGAGCGCATTCTTGCGTTCCTTGCTACCGTTCCTGCGAAAAGAACATTCAATGTTTACGCACTTCAATCTCTTGATTTCATAAATACATGACGATTAAAAATTTTTTCTTTTAAAGAGCAGCAAAGTAAAGGATCTTTGATCCTTGGTTTTTTTTGATTCATGAATGTATTAAATGATCGTGATGTTTACAGTTGTTAATTATCATGTAAGAAATTGTAATACTTTTTAATGTTTGTAATACAAGAATCGACATCTTATTTGTTCTTCTTATTTCAAACGTTGGAAAGTAAAAAATGATCATTTTCTATTTGATGGAATAATGATAAAACTTAAATTTTGCAGTTTTTTAATTATTGATATATTATTGAAATATTGTAGAATCTTATAATTGAATTTTCAAATGCTTCCAGTTTTGAATCTTAATATGATATTTTTACGTATTCGTATAAAAGTTAGGAAGATTCTTCATTTTTTTTAAAATTGAGATTTTTGTATTGTGTCATTGTAACAAATAAATAATATATGTTATATATTTAGTTTAAGTTTAATCTATTTATTTGTACAATTCTATAATATTAAAATAGAAATAAAACTAAATTTGAAAATCTATCAACTTCTTTCTTCATATCTTATTGGAAATACTTTATTTGACATTTAATAATAATTTGAAAATATATATTTTTTAACTTCCCTCGCATTAAGATTTTTAAAAAATCGATCATTAATATTTTTCTAAATTATTAAAAAATGGAAAAAATTAATCAAAGTATAAATGAAATTTTCGTTGAATTTATAAACTTTGGATAATAAATTTTTATTTTACTATCTATTTCTAATTTTTCATAACATAAAAACTTAATATTTTTATCTTAATACTTTAGAAATATCAAAAATTAATAAAATCTTTTATTCTATTTCTATTTCTTAAGCATTTTTCAACAAATTCAATAATAAGTTTTATAATTTAAAAAAAAAATTGTTATAATTATATATATTTTATAGAAATAACAGTAAATAATTAAATTTAATTTTTAATATATATATATAGTACCTAATTTATAGAATAACACTTTAATCAGTAAATTATTATCCATGTTTAATATTTTCATATTTCTCAAAAATTTTTCCAAAAACTTGTACGATTCGAAATTACATCAAACAAGAAATTCTTCTTTGAAAAATTTTCCTGCAAAGCGTAAATACATTAAGTTTTGCTGTTCCACAGATTTTTGATCATGAACCAAATTCCATTATCTTTGACTAGAGATTAACGAACG